TTTTTTTTTTTTTTTTTTTTTTTTTTTTTTTTTTTTTTTTTTTTTTTTTTTTGGTGTTGTTGGTGTTGTTGTTGTTATTCTTTTGTTTTTATTTTGAGTCTTAGTGTTGTTTTTGTTGCTGTTTTTTTTTCTTTTTTTTTCTTTTTTTTAATTATTATTGTTGTTGTTGTTGTTCTTCTTTTTGTTTTTGTTCTTTCTGTTGTTTTTCTTTTTGTTTTTGTTTTTATCGTTTTTGTTATTTTTATTGTTTTTATGATTACTATTGTTTTTACTCTTATCGTTTTTATTATATATATATATATATATATATATGTATATATATATTTATTTATTTATATTTATAAATTTATTTATTTATATTTTAATAGAATATATTTGTTTGTGTGTGTTCAGCTGGTGGCTGCATGCAGAGTACCCAAGCCGCCGCCTGTAGCTCGCCGGGCTGAGTTTGTGGGTGTTCCTTCTGCTGCTGGTACTGGTGCTGCTGCTGCTGCTGCTGGTGCTGCAGCAGCAGCAGCAGCAGCAGCAAGAGATGCTGCTGATGATTGCTTCGATAGAATTTGGGGCGGCGAGCAGTCTCTCCTGTCTCCTTGTCTTTCTTTTTTATCTAAACAAGAAGAAACAATACAACATAAAACACACTCTGCTGCTGCTGCTGCTGCTGCTGCTGCAGCAGCAGCAGCAGCAGCAGCAGAGGAAGCACTCAGCTTCGATAGACTTAAACATATTCAGCTGCCCTCTATTACCCTTGATACTTCTGCTGCAGCAAACAAGGTGCGTCTTTGTCTTTGTCTTTGTCTTTGTCTTTGTATTTTGTCTTTTGTCTTTGTATTTTGTCTTTTGTCTTTGTCTTTTGTTTTTCTCCTTGTCTTTGTCTTTTGTTTTTTTTTCTCATTGTCTTTTGTTTTTGTTTTTGTCTTTTGTTTTTATCTTTGTCTTTGTCTTTTGTTTTTGTTTTTATTTTTGTTTTTGTCTTTGTTTTTTTTTGTCGGTATTTTTGTTGTGTTTCTCCTTCAGTTTGTATATTTGTTGTGTCTTCGTTTTGTTTTTATTTATATTTAATATTTTTTTA